ACGTTGCCACCCTCCAGACCTCTCATAGAGGAGGCACACAAAGAAGGCTAAATCAGCACAACACATTTACACAGCCCAACTAACATCGTTCTATGAAGCGGCAGAAAATATATACGCAGAATGGGATCTGTCTGATTTTACCTGGAATAGGAGCCCACAAATTCAGGGTCAACACTGAGAAATCTCTCCCATGTTACATCACTCCTTCAAGAAAGCTGAAAAAGCAAACATGGCAGTACTTCCCTTTTTTATGGTTTCAGAAAAATTGCAAACGCCAGCAGCAACCTGAGCAGAGCTCCAGCTACCCCCATGGTTTCCAACAAAATGACTCATTTCAGCAGCATTCTGGGAAAGAAACATGGTGGTGGAAGGTGGGTGTTTTGCTCAGGCTGCTGTTGTGGCATATGCCATAGATGATTATGAATGACCATTTCCTCTCCAAATTATAGTAAGTCGTTGGTAAAATAATCAGTAACAATATTGGATCAACTGCATTTAACGGATCATGTCATTTACAACCACTGGAAAATATTTAGCCTTAAAGACTTTTCGCCTTTAAAAGCTATTTGTGAGTCACTGTCTCAAGGTGTAAATCACTTTAATTTTAGGAATGGGAGGAATAGCTAGATTAATTGTTCTCTAAAGTAGTATAGAGTAACATCTGTTTCATGGAAAATCAAACCACAAGTATGTACTATGGCTATATTTCCAGACGTTTTAAAGATAGAATCAATACAGTTGTTTGTTTTTAAAACTGGCTGGGAACTAGAGAGATGGCTGATTTTTCCTTCCTGCAGCAGCCCCTTGCACTCATGGGGTGCTGTTCTGGAGGGCTCCCAATCTCGGGGTAAGAAGGTCTGTTGCCAGAAGAGAAAACTGAAAAGCCCTAATGCAATACTTTGGGTCACTGCCAGTGAGAACAACAACCAAAGCACTTATTCTCCATATCTAGTTATTAGAGTAAAGAATCACTAATCTTTAATCACCTACTTTTGTTGCTACTTTAATTCACTTTATAGTAAAATTCCCACTCCTGTTTTTAAAGGTCCAACTTGGACAGCTATTTTAGTTGTCTACAGTGGTTTTTCAGTATTTTGCATTATGCAACTTCATACGCATCTTAAAAATAGGCTATTCAGATGTGGTTATAAAGTTAATCTTGGAACTAATATTCTTTAAAATACTGTGTTTGTCTGCGCCAGCACACTTCTGGTAAAATCTTTCAACATTGTGTCTCTTTTTGCTTTTTCCTATTCAGGATGCTCTGCGAAAATACTTGTTTCCTCCTGCTGTCATTAACTGGCTGTTCGATATATTTGTAGTATGATGCCAAATTTCTGCACAAACGACAACTCTTTTTTTTTTTTAATGATATTTACTGAAAATTTTTAGAATTACAAAAGAGAACAAAGCAGAAAAGGAGAAAGAAAAAACAAAGAAAAAACAAACCACATCAAACAATACAAATTCAAAAAACAAAAATACACCACAAACACTCAAAAACAAATCCATCATTCTCAAATCCTCAACTGTCATTACCTTCTTTCTTTGACCTCCTCCTCCTCCCTTTTTTTGTATCCTAGTTGTTAATAGTCGCAGCAAATCCTTTCCATATTTCATAATATTCTGTCATTACATTACCTTAATCTATTTTAATCTTATTTTACTATAAAGAACCTTAAAGCTCAAAACTTAAATCTTATTTTTACCAACTCCTCATAACCATAATATTCTTACATAATTCTTTAAACATTTTTGCTAAAGCCAAGTAATTTCGTTCCAACATTTGTCTAACATTCATCAATTTTATAAAACAATCCTAGTAGTAAAAAAAAGAAATAAGAACAATCCAATCTTCATCCAGCGTCCCTTCCTCCTGGTCCCGGGTTTTGTCAGTCCTTATTATCCCATCGATCTAGCGCATTAACCTGGTAACCTTGTATCCGAGGCCCTTGTATCCATGTCCCTTCCGCAGCTCTTCTTCAAATTTATAACTGTATTTTCCTTTGTCTCCTGCTCCTTTCACTCCTGGGAACTCCAGCTTAACAATGTTTTTGACCCTTCTCGACAAATCAGCCCCTTTTCCATAGTCCACACTAAACTCCATGTGGTATTTAAGAACATGTTTCAAAATCCCTCCAAAATTAGGAGCCCCCACAACCCCAAACATCTCACGGCCCATTGCCAGACTTGAAAGGTCCAAACATCCAACCCCCCATTTCCAAACCAAACCAAACTTTATCTTTCCAAATCTGGCTTTTTCCAAGTTCATTTGTCAAGTCCAAAAGCTCATGTTCCTGCTGGGCCACAGCTCCCTTCATCTCTGGCGCCCAAGATTCAGTAACATCCTCTTCCCTCATCTGTTCTGTCAGGGCACACTCCTGATTTAATTCCTGGGTGGGCTCCATATAATTTCCCACTGCCTGTTCAAAATTTCTGATCGCATCAGTCATCAAATCCGTCTTCTCATGTAGCTGTTCCAGTAGGGCATTTGTTTTACAGAAAGCACGCAGCAGAGCTTCTGAATACATTGTCCTGCAAGGTCAGAAGTCTATTCCCACGATTGTAATCTGTAACAGCTGCAAGCTCCCCGGAGTTGGTTACAGTTTCACAGTCTCCCTCTAGGGGAAAAACTTCTATTTGTTCTTTCTTTTAAAGACAAGTCTAACAACAAAGTTTCCTTTTTCAGATATTTTGTCAATATTTGTTCCTTTAAAATGCGAAGGGGAACAATGGAATCAATGTTTCTCTTCTTATAGCTATCTGTCAAAAACGTTTGTCTCTGGTCAATGAGCTTCAAAAAACGTCAGTCCTGACACCCCGCTCCAGGATCAGGACGGTGGAAAGTTACTTTACTTTACACTCACTTCTGCAGGTTTAAACAGTCCGAGAAAATCCCCCCTCTTCTCCTGCTTCCGAAGGGGGGTTCAACAATTTTAAATGATGAAAGTTAATCTTTTACAAGCGATTTTCTGAGCTCTAGTTTGCCATGTCTTTGCTTTAATCTATCTACAAAGAAACGGAAGGCTGACTTCCTGTTTAGACCTTCCCGTTTCAGTGCCAAATTGAGGTAAACTTTTAAGTCCAATTTTCCTTTCTGCTCGCAAGTCCTTATTTAAAGTCCAGTTGTCTGAAATTTAAGTACTCACGGGTGATTATTTTAGAAGCCAAATTGTCCCAGGAAAAAGGCAGCACTCTCTGGCAATGGCTGTGCGGCTTCGCTCCATGGAAGAAGCAGCTGACTCTCAGCACCGCGCCACTTCCCCCTCTTCGCTCCGGAGCCCGTTAGTGGGTTCTTTTGCAGGTTGGGGGGGCGCTAAAGGTGCCCGCCGAGTCCCATGGTCACAGGCTTCATCCGCCTGTGATTGTTGAAAGGGTCCCCGCTTCGCCGTAGCGGAAAAGACCCGTTTCGCGTGGAGCTAATCCCTCCAGATCAGAGGGAGTCTGCCATTGCTGATGGCGCCACCCCGGAAGTCCCCACAAACAACAACTCTTTAAAATATCATTAACTTTATTTACTGAGCCTTGCAAAATAGTAATAGCAATAATTGATCACCAAACAAGTAGGCATGTGAAAGTGACAGAAAATGTAATGAATTTACAAAAACGCTATTTTGGAGAATAAGTGAACAAATACCTACATTAACGTATTGGCCAAATCCTTAATAAAAGTAGGATAAAAAGATTTGCAAAATGGGAAAGACTCTTGCCTGAAACCCGACAGACATGCTTTTCTTAATGTAAGACTTGAGACCAGGTGAACCTGAAGATTTAAGGCTATGGAAAAAAAGCTTTTAATTACATGCTGCACATGTAATAAATATTTTAATGTATAGATGTTACAGAAATTGGAAGGGGACACACAACAAGATACATACTATCGTAATAAACATCATTATGCTGAACATGATGTCTGATACTTGTAGAGTTCTCAGAAGATCAGGCTAGATTTTCACAGAAATAAATCCATGTTCAGATGAAAAAGAGACATAAGTTCCAGCACTTTCAGAATATCCTCTAAGATGATTTGCTACTATTTTTTATGATTATGTCATTTCCAAACAGCCTAGAATGGCAAAATACTCTAGTTGCTTTTTCAGCATTTTAAAACAGATTAATCTGCTCACAACACTTAAAGGAAAACTAAATCATGCACGGTCTACAATGCAATTGTAAAGCATCAAGAGAATTACTCAATTAAATATTTGCACATACTGCAGTTGAGAAATGTATAACCCGTCAGTAATTCATTTGTTTGTTTTTCAAATTTATTCTTAAACATTTGTGAGAAATGTTTCTGATGTTCAGAAACTAGAATAGACTAGGTGGCGTGTCAAGAGACTAGCATTACCAAACACTAAAAATCCCTTCTATATATGCCAACAAAGTTCCCTCAGATTCAGAGGCTAAAAGTTCATCTCAAATATGAACTAAGCTTAACATCCTAAAATTCTGGAACTAAAATCTGACTTGGATAATTCTCCAGAGCTCCAAACCATTCCTCCCCAACTATATAGATAGACTGCAGTTTCCCAAATAGCCTCTTTGCCTCCCTTTCAACACTTGTGATGGAATTTGGGGCAATATTCTGGTATACAGTCCTTCCCCACTGTTTTCAAAAGTGAATCACAGGGTATCAGAAGACTGCATAAAAGCTGATGACATGTCAAATGATCTCCTTTGTCATGCCACACCACATCCACTGGTGTGAATGGAATTTAGCACAATGTGGCTGTTTACCCATCAAAAAGCCACACTTCCGTAGTGCAACAGGTAATGCAGTATAAAAAGAATGTTAGAAACTGGGACAGAAGCACCAGGAAAATTAAGATCCTGGTTGTCTGAATGCAAAACCCCCTTTGTCTGTATGCACCAGTGGTCTAACACTGCATCAGAAATGCAACATTTTGTTCCCCACGTTGTTGATTCTGCTGCTGGTTTCCCCAGGACTTTTGCAGAGCCTGATTTTTGCTGTTTGTGAAGCCGCTACAGGAGGAAAGATGGTGCGCAAGTTGAAGTTCCACGAGCAGAAGCTCCTCAAGAAACTGGACCTGGTGAACTGGGAGGCTGCCTCCGGGAACCTTGCCGAGCTGCGAGTGCTCCGCCGCTTCCGCTTGCAGCGCAGGGAGGACTACACCCGCTACAACCAGCTGAGCCGTGCGGTTCGGGAGCTGGCCTGCCGCATCTGGGACCTTGGGGAAGCGCCGGAGTCGGCGGCTTTCTGGGCTCGGAGCACTGCCGCTCTCCTAGAGAAGCTGTATGCCATGGGGTTGGTGGCCTCCAAAAGCTTCCTGGAGCTGTGTGACCGCGTCTCGGCCTCCTCCTTCTGCCGCCGCCGCCTGCCTTGCCTGCTCCTGAAGCTCCGTATGGCCCAGAACTTGAAATCGGCCGTCACCTTTGTGGAGCAGGGGCATGTGAGGGTTGGGCCCGAGGTCCTGACGGACCCAGCCTTCTTGGTGACTCGGGCGATGGAGGACTTCATCACCTGGACCGACTCCTCTCGCATCCGCCAGCATGTGCTCAACTACAATCAGGAACGGGATGATTTTGATTTGGCTTGCTAATTATCATTTTTTAAAAAGTGGGGGCACCTTTCCCCAATTTGTTAACCTGACTTATTTATTAAATTAAATACGCTGCCCTTCATCCGAAGATCACAGGGCTGTTCACAACATAATAATGCCAAATTTATACAGAATAAAACAAAAACATCTATCTCTTGTGCGATCCTTGTGGACCACAGGGGTAGGTAGGCCTGGAATGCTTAGCCCAGATAATCTCCAAGGGCCCCAACATTTTCCCCACTTGGCAGTTAATGTCCTGATTAATGTGGATAGTCTTGATATTTTGGAGGGTAACTGTTTACCGCTTCTTGCAATAGTGACTCTGCTGTCTGGTTTGTGTGTGTAGATCCTAACGATGCCTGTATCTTATATTCATTTTTTAAAAAAATACCATTTTTGTCCAACATTAATCTAAGTAAGATAAAAACATGACATAAACAAAAAAAGAAAGAAAGGGAGGTAAGAAAAAAGAGACAGAAAAGCGTTTCAAGAGGAAATAAAAAAGATAGTGTTCAGAGAGTAAAAAAAGAAAGAAAAGAAATGCAACATTTTGTTAACTGAAAAAAAATAATTCTTAAGATGCTACATCACACCTTTACCTGATACAATATGAATGTACAAGTGAATGAGGTTAATTAAATAACTTTTTCTGTGCTATTTAAAAAGCCATATTCTGGTCAGGAGAATCTTGTCGTGCTGAAAGTCTAGCCAACATGATTTTATCCTTAGCCAACCTCTGCTTTAATTAGTTTCTCGCTGCTGAATAAGAATGACTACAAACTGCTGTGTCTGCACATCATGCCTACATTAGATATTCTGACTGCTCAGTGTGAGATTACAGTCTTATGTATGGCAAATGCTTCTTCATCACAAGGATGAATAGCTATAAAGTCATTTGGGAGTAGCTGAACCATTCGATAAATCTAAGGTTTGATTATTTTGCTCTCCAAAATTTGGGAGATTTTATGAGTATTTTAAGAATTGCTGGCAAAGGGTTCATCTTAAGTTGCTGCTTCATTAAGATTGCACATATCTTTAGGGGATAAAATTCTAGCACACAGGCACTTTAAACACACTTTAAACACAAAGCTCAGCTAGAGGATAAATACATTCATACTCAGTATTCATCTTATTACAGCAGGGCAGCATTATTAAACTACATTTACTATGAATTTTGGGTAAAGGTAAAGGGACCCCTGACCATTAGGTCCAGTCGTGGCAGACTGGGGTTGCGGCGCTCATGTCGCTTTATTGGCCGAGGGAGCCGGCGTACAGCTTCCGGGTCATGTGGCCAGCATGACTAAGCTGCTTCTGGCAAACCAGAGCAGCGCACAGAAACGCCGTTTACCTTCCCACCAGAGCGGTACCTATTTATCTACTTGCACTTTGGCGTGCTTTCGAACTGATAGGTTGGCAGGAGCAGGGACCGAGCAACGGGAGCTCACCCCGTCGCAGGGATTTGAACCGCCGACCTTCTGATCAGCAAGTCCTAGGCTCTGTGGTTACATTAAAAGACTCAAATGCACAAGTAAATATCATGGTTTCAATACAGCCCACAATTCCACATCCCTGAGTTCAACAGGCCCTATGTGCATATGGCCTACAGATTGGACTGCAGACCATGAAAAATTGAAATCCGATCATCACGGTATGTTCCATACATACGGATTGCACCACACAAAGTTTATGTGGTTTGGTTTACAGGACAAACCCATCCTTTGATTCTTAGCCAAATCATGTGCCCTTATCATTCTGAAATGGTAGCTGGGGAGGTAGACAAAAACAGTGAAGGGAAAAGCTACTGAAAATACATTAAATGTACTAGTTTTTATACCCTCTGCATAGTTAAGGTTGCATAACTGCTGTTTTCTTATTTAGTGTGGTTGCTAAGTTCCTGAAATGTTTATGTGATTTCCTGAATTTATTATAACTTCAATTTTACATGAAAAGGAATATAATTAGAACAGGACATAAGATGCACCTGTCTAGCCCTTAATATTAGCTTCAGAGGTCCTCCCATTGACCCACTATTAAGATTAGTAAAATTGGTGAGCGCTAGACTTAACACCTATTAGAAATCCCAGACTAGATGTTTTATGCAATGAAGTAGCTTTGTTTCAGTTTTACTTTATATAAAACTAGTTGTGTGTCCCTCTCCAAAGTTAAAAGAAAACAGCTGCAGAATTCTGGAGACCAGTTCTTCATGCCTTATCCGAGTTTCTGAAACTTACTCAAATACATTCCCCATCTGTAATAAATAGACCATAATATTGCATGGCAATATTGTAGTTATGATTAATTAGCTATTGTGTCTAATTTAGATGGAGGAGCATAAAATTGGTAAATTCAAGTATTTATGATGCCTTTCCATGTGGACAGAAATGTATCTTTGTTTTCTGAGGAATAGATATCTCATGTTGTTACCAAATTATGTGCAACTTATTTCCATTAGGTAAAGAGCAAAATGGAACATATGTTGAGTGCTAAATTATTTGGCTTACAGTTTTACCATTTTGTATATGCTAAATGTTTTGATATATGTGTTAATAGAAAGAAGGTGGAGAATATAAAACAATGGCAAGAAGAAGAAGAAGAAGAAGAAGAAGAAGAAGAAGAAGAAGAAGGTGGCTTCCAACAAAATACTAAAAACACAACACAACATCAAACATTAAAAACTTCCCTATACAGGACTGCCTTCAGATGTCTTCTAAAAGTCAAATAGCTGTTGTTTTTTCCACAGGGAGGGTGTGACTACTGAGAAGGCACTCTGCCTTATTCCCTGTAACTTCACTTCTCAAATTGAGAGAACTGCCAGAAGGCCCTTGGAGCTAGATCTTAGTGTCTGGGCTGAACGATGAGGGTAGAGACACTCATCCAGGGCCATGGCCATTTAGGGCTTTAAAAGTTATCACCAACACTTTGAATTCTGCTCCAAAACATACTGAAAGCCAATGCAGATATTTTAGGACCGGTGTTATATGGTCCCAATGGCCGCTCCCAGTCACTAGTCTAGCTGCCGCATTCTGGATTAGTTGTAGTTTCCAAGTGACCTTCAAAGGTAGCCCATGTAAAGTACATTGCAGTATTCCAAGTAGGAAATAACCAGAGAATATACCACTCTGGTGAGATAGTGTGCAGATAGGTAGGGTCTCAACTGTCACACCAGGTGGAGGTACTAGACAGCTGCCCTAGATACAGAATTAACCTGTGCTTCCATACACAGCTGTGTGTCCAAAATGACCCCAAAGCTGCACAATTAGTCCTTTAGTAGCACAGTTACCTCATTCAGGACTAGGGAGTCTCTGACACCTGCCTGACCCCCGTCCCCCAGAAACAGTACTTCTGTCTTGTCAGGATTCAACCTCAATCTGTTAACCACCATCCATCTTCCAACCACCTCCAGACAGTCACACAGGTCATTCGCCGTCCTCATTAGTTCTGAATTAAATGAGAGGTGGATCTGGGTGGAATCCACATACTAGTGAACATCCAGCCCAAACCTCCTGAAGAGCTTTGCTAGTGGCTTCATATAGATGCTGAAAAACATGTGAGAGAAGACAGAGTCCTGAAGCACTACACAAGTGGGAGTCTAGGAGTCCAAACACTCATCCCCCAGCACAACTTTCTGGACACGACCCAGTAGGAAGGAACGGAGCCACTGCATAACAGTGCCCCCAGCTCCCAAGCCCACTAAATGGTCCAGAAGGATACCATGGTTGATGGTATCAAAAGCCTGTGAGAGATCCATCCAGCAGAACCAGGAAGCAGCTTTCCCCCCTGTCCCTGGCTTGCCAAAGATCATCAACCAGTGTGACCAAGGCAGTTTCAGTCCCAATTGGAAGGGATCCAAATGCATCCCTCAGACATGCCTGGAGTTGTTCAGACACCTGCTCAATCACCTTGCCCAGGAATGGGAAGTTTCAGACTAGGCAATAATTGGTCATAATGGCTGGGTCCAAAGATGATACTATGGATACTATGTGTGTGTGAGACAGTGTCAGTTCTCAAATTAGAGCATGGTTCCCAGTGATAAAAGCAGTGAATTGTGGGTTTGTCCTGCTATATTTTTAAATACATAAATGCTAAGAAAATGAATATTACACAAATAGAAAAAAGGGTATAGACCAGCATACAAAGACACAATATATGGCAAGGAAAGTACAATGAATGTATTCATCACAATGTACCTGCTGTTACAAGGCATATAGTACATGCAAGCGGTATATATTTTTGGTGGCACAATTTGAAAAATGCTTTAATTGAAACCAAAGCCAGTGTTGATGTCAGAAAATACTGGCTTTAGGTTTCAAAGCATTTAATGTGGTCCAGTGCCCTTGTAATTTATTGTATGTGGGCAAACATTATAGATCTTTAAGGACTAGGATAAGGCAATATAGATCTCATATTAGGAATGCTGTGACAAGTGCCCCTCTGGTGGAACATTATCTCCTGAAAAAGTACAGTGACACTGATATACATTTTTTTTTTTGGCATTTGGCAAGTTAAGTCTGACCCACACAATAGAAAAGGACGAATACATTCATTGTACTTTGCTTGCCATATATTGTGTCTTTATATGCTGGCCTGAACTCCTGTTTTTTTTCCTATTTGTGTATGTTCCTGTACAGTGGGTTCTTTATTTTTGTGCAAGAAAATGAATAAGGCTTAGTCTGCACCATATCCATGAAGCATACAGCATACCAAAAGAGGCATGTCAGTTCAAAAACACCTATCGAAATACTTAGCATGTATATGAAGGGAAAACTTTGTCAGTAGCTAACCATTTTTTAAAAAAAACAACCATGGGGATAGATGCAAACTCTGTTGAACTTCAGCTTTGACACCTGCCTTGCCATATTTCTTTAACACTTCATATCAAAACAGTCTCTGAAATACAACAGGCACTCCTGGGAGACTATCTGACAAAAACAGGCTGAAGTCTGCATGAAACCATACAATAGCTTCTTTGGTGGTTGCTGCAGTTTTCACATTGTGCACAT